GGGAGGGTGGATGGGTGGATGGATGGATGGGAGGATGGATGGGAGGATGGATGGATGGATGGATGGATGGATGGGAGGATGGATGGATGGGAGGATGGATGGATGGATGGATGGATGGGAGAATGGGTGGGTGGATGGATGGATGGATGGATGGATGGATGGATGGATGGATGGGAGGATGGATGGGAGGATGGATGGATGGATGGATGGGAGGATGGATGGATGGATGGATGGATGGATGGATGGATGGATGGGAGGGTGGATGGGAGGGTGGATGGATGGATGGATGGATGGGAGGGTGGATGGGAGGGTGGATGGATGGATGGGAGGATATATGGATGGATGGATGGGAGGGTGGATGGGAGGGTGGATGGATGGATGGATGGATGGATGGGAGGGTGGATGGGAGGGTGGATGGATGGATGGGAGGATATATGGATGGGAGGATGGATGGGTGGATGGATGGATGGATGGATGGATGGATGGATGGATGGATGGATGCATGGGAGGATGGATGCATAGGAGGATGGGAGGATGGAAGGTTGGGTGGAAGAGTGGGTGGTTGGATGGCCAAGTGGGTGAGTGGAGGGAGGGTGGTGGGCGGAAGGAAGGAAGGGGAGCAGATGGGTGGCAGCTGGAAGGATGCCCACTGCAGGCTGAGTGGATGGGTGGGAAGTGAAGGCAGATAGTGAGGGCATGCATGCTGGTGAAGATGCAGAGGGAGGACCAGGCGAGTGGGCAGGGGATCACTATACGGCGGGTGGGGGCACTTCCTGGAGTCGCTTGTTGGACACCTGTCCCCCATCCTGGCTCTTTGGCAGACCTTGCACCTGCAATGCTGCTGGCAGCCTGGGTACCTGTGACCCCCACAGTGGGCACTGCCCCTGCAAAGAAAATGTGGAAGGCAGCCTGTGTGACAGGTGGGTGAGCCCGTTGGCAGTGAGCTGCTGGAAGTGACCTTGGGGTTGGTGATGAAGTGCCAAGGCTGTGGAGGGAGGAGCAGGGGATGGTCCTCATAGTCAGGGCAGCCCTGTCACCCCACACCCTTCCAGGAGCACCTTGGAGCTGGCATCTGAGAGGGCTCCAGGGGGCTTCAGGCCGTGGTTTATACTTTGATCCATCACCTCTGGTGTTTCCTAAACTGAGAAAATACATCTCTTTTTTCAAGCTCAGAATCCTCAGAAGTCTTGGGTCCTCCCAACACTCAGGAGGCTGAGGCAGGAGGATTACCACAGGTTTAAAGCCAGCCTGGACTATGTAGTGAGATGCTCTCTCAAGAAAAGAAAAGAAAAGAAAAGAAAAAAGAACCCTGAGAAGGAACTAAAAAGCATAGGAAGAGCTTATCTAATACAGGTAACAAATACATGGTAGTCACATCACAGCCTTCCCATTCCACCTTCATAGCAGACATCACCAAGGGAACACTATTTTCGCAGGCTTCTCATTCTATACCCACAGCAGACATTACTAAAGGAGCACTGCCATCACAGCCCTCCCATTCCACATTCAGGGCAGACATCACAAATGGAACACTGTCACAGCTCTCCTGTTTCATACTGTGACAGACATCACTAATGGAGCACTGTTGCATCCCTCCCACTCCACACCCAGAGCAGACATCACTAATGGAGCGCTATTATCACAATCCTTTCATTATACACCCACAACAGACATTACTAGTGGAGCACAGCAGCCTTTACTGTGAGCCCTACAGTAACCTCAGGATCCTTCTCAGTACCCTGCTCCAAGAAGGACTTACCAGCTGAGCTGAGGTTGGAGCATTGCTATCCTTGCAACCCCATCATGGTACAAATGGAGCATCTGAAACTCAATGAGACAAAGGCATTTCCTAAGGCCACGTGCCCCATAAACTTCCTCTTTCAAGGGTTCAGGAAGCTGCTGAGTGCTGGCTGTGGTGCCGGCAGAGGCCATGGCTTTGCCTTCTTGGGCACACACTTCCCGGCCTCATGTCTGACATCTGAAGTCTTTGCCAGGCGCTTCTGGCTGGCCCTGGCCGTGGTGCTCACCTTGGCCAGCCGCAGGCTGCCCCCAGGCACTGTCTCTCAGGTCTTCCTCCCCAGAGGCTGCCAAGTGCTAGGTGAAGTCTGGAGCCAGATGGGCCTGGGTGCTCCCTCGGCTCTGCCCGACCCCCTCACAGTCCTGAGTGGGTCCTTTCCTCCAAGCCTCAGTTTACCCACTTGTAAAACCAGAGCGAGGGGTAAAGTGAGCTCATGGAGCTTCCTGGGCGTAGGGTTGAGTCAGAGCCCTCACCAGGCCCACTCAGACACAGCAAGGGAATGTAAACCAGGAATCTGCAGGGCTGCTGCAGAAATGCTTGTCTCCAGAGCTGGTGGGGAAAGACTAGATAAGCCCACAGCTGCTGTAGTACCAAAAATCAAGGAATTGCTTAGAAACCAGACTCAGGCCTGGAGTTGGGGCGCCGTAGTACAGCGCCTGCCCAGCATGCAGGAGGCCTGAGCTCCATCCCCGACACCAAGCAAACTGACCAGAATCCACCCCGGAGCACGGGCCATGCAGAAGGTCACAGGAGCCCCCCGACACAGCTCCCAAGGCTGGGACAGCTTGCGCGACAAAGTAAATAGCGGTGGGAGTGCATTAGAGCACAGAGAAGGAGTAAATACAACGCCACGCTGACGTAAATAGACGACTGAGTAAATAGACAGGGTAAGGGGACAAAGCGTGCTTGCAGAACTCCAAAAACTCAGTGTGGAGAGAAAGAAGGGAAAGCGAGGCAGTGTCCGAACATCGAAGGAACAATCACTGCAGGCGGACGCCGCGGCTGAACACCGATGTTAGAGAAGCATATATTTGTGCAGCCTCAAGATGCCTCCTCCCACGTGGTTACTCAGGACGGCAGTGTTCAGCATGTGTGTCCCCAAGTGCTTGCTGCTGCCCCCTGCAGGAGGTGGAGCGCAGCTCCTGCCCTTGAGCGTGCACGGGTCCATGAAGGCCTTGAGGGATTTGAGTGAAGCCACTGCTCCCTTACCCAGGGAGCAGTGGTCACGCCCCCCTGCCGAGGTGACTCGGGTTTCCTGTCCCCATGGGGGGTGATGAGAAAGACACTTCACCTCCGTGCATTTCTTCCCCAAACCCAGTCTCACGAGAAAACATCTGACAGACAAGCCCAAAGCCAAAGGCCTTCTAAAACCCACCTGAGCCAGGCGTGGCAGCACATGCTGGTAATCCTAGCACTCTGGGAGGCTGAGGCAGGAGGATGGCCTGAATGATTTAGTGAGACCCGTGTCTCAAAATTTAACAAGAAAAATGAAGTGCACTGAGCAGTGCTGTTTGTGAAAGTTTGAGATCCAGAGAGGCGAGAACAGGCTGAGAAGCAGTTCCGGTCGGGAGGGCGGCACAGGCAGATGGTGCCAGTCCCAGGCGGGGTCCTGCAGCGGAGAGTTTGCGGAGAGATCCTGACGCTGCCTGCAGTCCAGTTAACCTTAGCCGCTGAGAGCTCGGGGTGTGGATCACTGCCCCCGCCTCGTAGGGGAAGCGGGTGTGGGAGCCGCACGTGCTATCTTTGCAACTCCTGATCATTTGGAAAAAAAAAAATCTGTGTATAGCTATAAACGTGTGTGCGCACTACTGAGGACGGAACCCAGGGTTACACACCCAGAGTCACATACTAGCCCTTTAAAACTTTTTTATTCTGCCACAGGGTCTCACTAAGTTGCTAAATTGCCTGAGCTGGACTCAAACTTTTGATCCTCCTGCCTCAGCTTCCCAGAGTGCTGGGATGGGATTACAGGCATGCACTACCACTCCTGGTTTAAAAACACATACACTTTTTTTTTTTTTTTTTTTTTT